CACACAGAGATGGGAGCGGGGTCGCCAGTACAGGAGGTACATGTTTTTAGTGGTAGGGGAAACCGGAGTACCCGGAGGAGACCTACGCAGACACAGGGAGAACATGCAAACTTCACTCAGAAAGACCCTGTCCTGACCGGGATTTGAACCGAGGAACTTCTTGCTGAGAAGCGAGAGTGCTATCCACTCAGCCACCGTGTCGCCCAAATACAACACAGAACAGATGATAGATAGATTAAAGCTGGGGTACCTAACTTTCACACATAATAGTGGTGCTTAACACAAGTTTAAACAGCAGGGCAGTTCACAAAGAGCACTTGGATTAGATTTGAGATGTCACTGCATGTACAATACTTTTGGGATTTTGTTAAATGATGTTCATTAAATCAATGGCCTTTGATGACCCTTTAAAATCATAAACAACTAAATTTGGCAATAAAATAAACATGTAACTTGATTGGTACCTCTAAGCAAGTGATTTCAAAAAGTTCCAAAGTCACTTTTATGTCAAAGTTTGCTACATTCAGATCTATTATTGCATTGCTCCTTATCATTTGAATCATACAAGAACACATGTGAACGGACATAATCCCTTCCCATTAAAACTTGAATCAATTCCCCACACATGTTTTGATGTATGAACCCATCCTGGTGTTTAACATTTGCAAATCGTTCGTATAATTTGTATAAAAAACATACAAATAGTATTATATTGATTCTTATTTGATATTATTTCAAAAGTACATAACGGTAAGCAGTTTATGCCTGTGTGAGTGATGACATCAACAGTCCCCGCTCTGATCACTCAGCCGAGACTGTTATGCAGCCTTTGTGCAGCATTCTGCAAAATCAAACATTTTGCTCTATGTCCACCACAGCAACACACCAAAATATTTACATAGTACATTTAGTACATTTAAGTTCATTAGAGCCAACAAACTTAATTTACTGTTTTCTTGAAGAAATGCAATTATTAATCCGCCTTTAATTTACAATTACTGTTTTCCATGTTTACTTTTTTTATAAGTCAACATTGACAATCTTGTAAAGTCCTGTGAAATGGCTGCTACTCTCCCGCAGTAATGTCAAAGTCAAATACATCAGAGGGCCAAAAAAATTAATGTGCTACAAGCCGAAGGCCGGACTGCTTCAATGTTTGTTAAAACATATTAAAATGATTGCATATAACCTATTGACCCAAGACCTGACACAGTGTACCATATTTTATTGATTGAATGATTAAATTAGTAAATCCAATGTTTTTGTATGGCTCTGTCAGTTATTTCAAGTGAAACCATTTTTCAACAAGCTCACAGACAAAAACAAACTTCCTTCGAAGAAAAAGCACACACTCTACTGAAATCAAGTTAATTGTTAAGACGTTATTTCAACTCGTGCGCAACTATCAATCAAGAAAATTGTGAGGAATCTTATGTGATTAAATATTCAATGCAGTAAGGGAGATCTGAACTTTAACTGCGTGTGTGTGTGGTGGCAGACAATGGGTCAAGAACAGAAAGGAATTGTTATTGAGTGGCTTCCTTCGCTAGAGTAGTTCAGCCATTTTTCTTCCCCCTCAGTGCAACCCGGGCAAATTCACACCATCCATCCTGCTACTGTATATTTCTTCCCTCGTCTGTCATTGTAATCAATTATCTGCGTATGATGTCATGCTGCTAGCCCTCCCCCCACCACCCTCGAAACCCCGCTATGGTCCACGCTGTGTGTATCAGATAAAAAAATCACTGCGTATGTACATGTTAATCTTGCGTTGGGCATACTGTGCAACTTGACCTCGTGCATGGAAACAATAAAGAGCGACAACATAAACAAAAAACGAGAGGTATTGACATTGCAATCAAGGCCAGCGTCCACAGGGCACGCCATCACGTCATAGGCCAGTGATTCGATTAGGGCTGAATGAATCTACTGACTGCATCCTAGTCATCTGGTCCCCATCTTTAGCGACGGGATAATGAAATGAAGGAAAAATACGGAGGAGGGCAAGAAGGCACGGACACAAGCCACACTGTGTCAGGGTCAGTGTTTCCCGTACTCTGTTCCCATGGCGAATGTAAATACCACTTCTGTTAATGGGGGTTCTCAGTTAGCACGTTTGCAGACCTGTTAATGGATCTCCTATGATGTAACTGTCTGTAACTGTTTGTATTTACAATTAGGAAACATGGAAACATAATTGTAAAAAGAAACATCAGCCCTTTTTGGCGAGTCTGTAGTAGCTGGGACAAAACTTTGGCAAAACTTTAACATAATTACCATCAGGTGGACAGGATAGAGAAACTAAAGATTTAAAATATGGGCGGATGATTTATAAACCAACAATCCACAAAGGAGAAACTTTCACCATGTTTATGTGCTTGGTGATGATTTGCATAGACCAGCAAATTGTATGAAGCAGCTTGTGTAATTACGGGTGGAGATAATCACTTATGAAGCTAAAATATTAATGGGAACATACTAGGGCAGGAAGCATGATCAATATTAATTCCAGTCACAGCAAACACACACACACACACACACACACACAGGCCTTCATTAATAATGGAAATAGGTTGTGCTCTAAGCAAGTCATTGTGAATACAAATGTCATGCATCACTCATTCAATATCAGTCACAAAAACCTGTCAGCACATTTACAGTTTAAACATGGTACTTGGCTTTTGTGATCATACTGTTCTGACTTATTTTTACTGTATTTAATGCTCCAATATGGTACTGTATTGTTGTAAATGTGAGTTTTCCAATTGCAATGAAGGGTTTTCATTGGGAGAAGCCAATTTACTGTACTGCAAGTTTACATGAATCATGATCCAATCAAATCTAAGATGTGGCTTCAAGAGCTTTAGATTTTTGGCATATTGCCCAGTCCTGATAACTGTTGCTATCTGCTTTGTCGGAAGCAACATCCAATCCGATTCTATTCTATTTGTAAAGCGCTTAAAAAACAACAACATGGTTGACCTAAGTGCTGTACGTGTTTACAATAGAAAATAATAAAAAGAGTGGACACTGATATAAAGAACAATGGGTAAGAGCCATACATTATCGATTAAAAGCCAAAGAGGCAAAGAATGTTTTGAGCCGAGCCTTAAAATATCTAGACTCAGCCAGTCTTACAATCCACTGAATGTCATGTTATATACTTATTATACTGCCCTATATGTAAAAAGGTTTGCTATATATATTATATATATATATATATATATATATATATAGAAGGATTTACAGTGAGCTAAGAAACATAGCAGCTACTTATATTGTATATTTTATGTGCTACCTGTGTGCTCTTACTCAGTGGTAAATTATTCCACAGACGAGGACCCACAACTGAAAAGGCTGCGCCGACTCTCTGTTTCCTCCAAGAAATTGGGACCGTGAGGACCAATTGATCAGCTGACCTAAGAGGGTCATAGTGGGTCAAGAGGGGGCATATGGCTGGGTCAGACAATGCAACATCCACCAAGATAAAAGGACAATGTGCAGTTTGACTTGTTTTTTTGGGATGAACGCAGACATTGCCTTATGATTCTTGCGTTCTTGGGCAAGATGGGTATTTTGCTTGGGTGTGTGAAATACCACTTTTTAGTAGTAAAATAAAAAAGACCAGACTAACAAAGCTTAGATAAATTGTGCAATATACTTAATTTCTACTTAATACTTAATGCTTCATATAGTGCTGCAGTTATCAATACTAACTCTGCTTCAACCACTGCTAGTGTAGTGATGATTGCATTTCCAGTAAGCTTATTTTTCATGCTAGCTCAGTGGCAAAATGTTAATCTGGGGTGACAGTGAAGAGTTTTGGGGTTGTCAGCTTTGACAGCAGGGCACTTGTTAAGCCACATCCTCTATGCTAATGCTAATGTTCATGCTAACATATGCAAAGTGATCCAGAGTCTAGGGATACCACCTGCCTTCGCTGTTGATTCAGAATATGTTGAGGGTTACTTGTTACTGTCGAAAGTGAAGGATTTCATATGGAATAAACATAGGCACAAATTGGCAGCTTTCAACAATTCCTCCCAGGGCAATTAGAGCTACAGTTGAGGAGTACATTTATTCTTTAAAAAATACAAAGAAACATCTCAAGGCAAGCAACGCATTGTGTATCATGCAACATGTATATCTTCTGTATATTGTTTTTTTAGATATGTCTGGGACTTTTAATCAGTGTGAAATAACTGCTGATAAAATATTTAGATATTGTTGTAGATATTGTAAAATATAATATCTACCACCTTTTTTCAGTTATGTGTATGTGCCTCTGAGGGTGCGGACATTCATCATTTTACTCTTTCCTTGCAATGTCTCCATCATTTACCATGTGTTTGCCCTGTCCATCAATCCTCCTGTCTCCCCTTCACCCTTCTGATTTCGCCGCCGTTTATCCGTCAAGTGGAGTGCATGGCCTATATCGCCATAGTAACAGACAGCCAAGACAGGTGGAGATTGCAGGTAGTGCAGCCATGCATGTACCCTCCTATCCCCACCATCACACAGCACACACACACATCCCTTGGGACTGCAGAACGCCAACAGTATGGAATGAGGATGTATATGGGCTATCTTGGTTCTAGGTCACATACAGTGCACGCTTGACTGCCGCGTGCCAGTGCCAATGAGTATTTTGAACAATTGCAGACACAAACTTCTCATCATCATCCTGTCTTAGTTTGTCAACATAATTCTTCAATGAATAGCTTCAGCAGAATGGTACTCTTTCTTATGAACTATAGCTGCCATGAAATGAATAGCTGAAGTGCAAAAATTTTATTCAAACAAAAGTGCAATGTCTGGGGAAAGTGTGCCCCATAATTTTATGGCTTAGAGTAGAAAAGAGGAGGAGCAAGCAATTCAAGCGTCAATTATTTGAAGCAAAAACAATACATGAAGAATTAAATCATTTTTGAGTCTATTTCAGTGATAGAACATGCTGTTTCTGAGCCTTACCATGAGCAAGCAGACTGCCGATTCCGGGATTAGTTGGATAGCCATTGCAGAATCGTCTTATCGAAAGCCCAAAAAGAAGGTTCAATGCCTTGCGAGTTACGAACACCTTGATCTTGTTGCAGTCCAGATATTTTCCTAATCCAGCCTGTAATTGCAAAACAGATTAATTATTTTCTGTCACTCTTCAATCCTTGCTGCTTTGGAACACACTTCCACTTTTAAGCAGTGCTGCTGTGTTCCCTACCTCAGCCCCCTTGGACGTGCTGTGCTAAGTGGTCACCCCCTCCTTCTTGCTTCCTCCTCTGGTGCCTTCTTGTGTCTCGTTGCAGTCAGCCAATGCGTTCATCACAATACAAAGCACATCAGCGCACGTGGATCCTTCATTTAGCTTCACTCCCGGAGGTGTCTGGTGCTACTGCCGCTGCCGGTATTGGAAACATAATGTAGCTTGCATCAGTGCCATGTGTCTTGAAGGAGGGTTTATTCTTACCTTTGCATCTGCTAATGGTGATGTCTTTTGCATGGGGCCAAAGACAGACAGAATGCAAGAGTTGTAGAACAGGGATTGGATGGAAGATGAGAGGAGAGTGGAGTGGTAGCGGTAGACCGGTTGGAGAGACAGAGTGCGTAAAACCAGGTGGGTGGAGAAGAGGGAGGGGAGATGGTGATGGAGAGAAGAGGGGGGCTACAGCAGACCGCGCCTATCCGACAGAAAGGAAGCATGGGATAGGAGTAGAATCCAGATGGATCCAATGGAAAAAGAAAGAAAATTAGGGGTGGAAGATGAAGCTACAAAGTCAACCTCCAAAATATTCTCTTGGAAAATACAATTTAAAAGACTTATCTCAAAATGCTGTGTCACCAACACTTATACAAATACATAATGTGTAAAGAAGCATTTCTGTGTGGAGTTTCCATGTTCTCTCTGTTTCTGCAGAGCTTTCATTGGGCGCTCCAGTTTCCCCCACCCTAAAAACATGTCCAATAGTACAATAGTTGGGTGAATGAGTGTTGAGTGTTTCTGAGTGCGACTGTGGGGCATAAGATGGAAATTAGCCAAAGGCTAGAATTTGGTGTATTTAAAGCACTGCTGCTCATTACTATACACTGTCCCACTCAAATTAACAAAAAATATAATGTTTATTATGATTTGAGGAGAAGCATAGTATATTTTTTAACTTCATTGAGGTCCATTGTTGCTATACTACATGTGTTTACATTTATTTTTATTTCTTTTTTTGTACGCAAATATTTTACATATGATAACATGGTGCAATTATTTAATATATTAACAGTTTGATTAGATATGAGAACATTTTATTGTACTTTTGTATTATAAACTTTGCGCTTATCTTCACTCTAAAGGCCTCAGCAAACGATCTCTAGCTGCATGTGTCTGTGGAGGGTCTGAGAGCCCTGGGACCAGCATACTTCTCCATCCTGGTGTCTGCTACACAAATGCAATGTTCCCACCTGATCAGCAGGGATCGCTTCGCACAACTATCCGTCCCAGTGGACAGTGAAATAATGGCGGTAAGACTGCTGTTAAAGTTTGAGCTGAATATCCTTGGGACAAAGATGCGAGCAAGACGAGTCATAGAATTATGAATTAACTGCACACAATGGTGAGGATACGGGTATTGCGTGACAAGAGAAGGTGTTCTGTCTGCACACACGTACTATGTATGTTTAGCCTTAAATGAAGCCTTAAAGTGGTTCTCACCCCGCTCCTCGGAGCTTACGTCACTCACATTTCCTGTTCAAATCTTCCTCTAAATGGGCGTAGCCTGGAGGACTGAAGGGGGCGTGAACAAGACTGGGCCGTTTATATTGCTCTGGGCGGGGGGCTGCTGACGTCAGGTCCAACTTGCAGACGTCAGGTCCAACTTCTGTGCCAGTGTTGGCGCCAGATTCAAAATTCAAATGTAGTAATACAGGTCGCCAGCAGATGGCGCCTCACAGACGGTTTTAGGCAGAAAGTTTGACTTTCAACTAATTTGCACCAAAGTGACAAGATTATGACCAGGATATGTAGACAACACTATTGGACACTCATTTAAATCGTTTATCAGCAAAAAAAGTGGATTTGAGGGTGAGTTGTCCTTTAAATGTATCTGACAAACATGATTTTGGGCGTGCTTTTCACAGAGTGACGCAGACGCCGGTCACCCAGTCCACCCTTGGTTCACTCCACTGCTAGTTCCCGAGCGGCATGTGTCAATTCTGTTGACAAAGTCGGTCAAAACCCATCTGTTCAGACTGTCCTACCCCACCTAACACACACACACACACCCACCATTCCATATTGTACTTTACTGTTTTATTCTGTTGATCCTATTTTTTATGCTCTGTACAGTGTCCTTGGGTGTTTAGAAAGGCGCTTTTAAATAAAATGTATTATTATTATTATTATTATTATAAAAAATATGTACTGTGCCTCGAGAAGGGGAGAGGCTCTCTGTCAGCCCCCCCAGCGCTAACGTATGGGGCCCCATTGCAGTGGAGTATTATACAGCCTTAACTGTCTCTGCACTTTTTTTCTATTAGTGATCCTACAAACTTCTGACAGAAAACTGTTAAACTCCAAAATCTAACAAAACACTTTGACACTACTGAAAGACAGAACGTAAACATAAACATTGACCCGTTATCTTTTCACACTTTGAGTTGCCCTCTGTACTGTATGTACTGTGCTATATAAATATACTTGCCATCCCTTGCCAAACATTCCATTGTATGTTTTATAACTGTAAGTTAGATCTTCAACATAATGTTTGTATATGGGTTTCTTCTTCTTGGGGCCTCTGTCGTATATTTGAGTCGTAAAGCAGTACAACAGAGTAGTCCACAAAAAGTATTTTCAGAAAATAAATATCATTGATCTTGAGGTTTCTCACTTTTCTTCCACTGGGTTTCTGAGTTTTTCAATGCAGATGCAGGAGGGTCTGTTGGACAGTTAGTGTCTAAGAAGAAGGACTGTGGTGATGATCCAGGACACTTTAACATTCTACAACATGTATGCCATTTATCAACATGTGTTTGATCTGTGTTGGTGATTCAATGGTTTTGTGATGACTGCTGTTGTGATATAGGGCTATACAATATACATTGTATTGTATAATTGTATTGTACAATATTTTAGATGTCAGAATTTGCATAATTATTTGAGGTGGAACTCGAACATGTATTCGAAACTCATTTCAGTGACTTCCAAATCCTATTATATATATATATAAAATCCTATTTCCAAAGAGGAAAACTAAATCGAGATGTACCTTTTATTACCATATTGCTATTATGATTCCCTGTTTGGGCTTTGGGCTGAGAACTAATTGGTTGAGTAAGGGTGATTTTTTGTGGTCTGAAAAATAGGTACCTCAGCTTTAATGTCTCTTGGCCAGGACACTCTTTAGAATTTTAACGGCAATGAGAATTCCTGTTCAAACAAACTGTTTCACTTTGACATATGAGAACCACTCTGTTGGTGTTACGTAGATCGAAACACGGGAATCATTTTACACTTAGCATTGTGTGCCCTGCCCACTCACCGCTTTGACAGGGAGGACCACACTTCATTTCCACACACTTGTTGCAGTCATTTTCCTTCTGTTCGGAGACACACTTATTTCCTGCAAAGTTTGAGAGAAGAACAGGTTACGATGACTTCGATTTAAAAAGGGAAAAGTAGCTAACAACAACAAACAAACCGCAGATTATACATTTATATCACCGTATGTATGCATTTTAAGTTTTGTTTCATTTTGTGTTAATAATCTTAGTTGATGAATGTTTGCTAACTATCTTATTGTCTGTATTGAAATGATTCTTGCTCATGCTAAGTAATTGCATTCTTTTTTTTTTTTTTACTTCTTATTTTGGAAACTACTATTCATAACGCTTCAATCTGTGTCATTTCAGTTGTATTAACCTTCTCCGTGTGGGGTGCACATTTTCCCGGTCGAACAGGTTCCACCGGTGCGCTCTCCGCTGCGGGAGAGAGATGGCGCTCCCCCGCGGTGCTGGTGTCCCCGTGGTGCGGAGGGAGCACCTGGGGGGAGAGTGGCAGGAGGTGGGCAGAGGCGGCTTTGGACGGGTCTACAGGGCCAGGCATAAAGACCTGCGCATGGACGTGGCTGTCAAAGTACTCAACGACAATGCCAGGTATTGACAGTGCGTGTACAATGTTACATCACTCACTGCACTGTGAACCTAGCCTGACTCTCGCCAGACCCATGTACAGTAGTTCGCTGCACTTCACCATGTGGCTCAGCCAAACGCCTCTGGTGGAGCATGGCGGAACTACAAGGGTCTGGCAGAGCCAGGCTACTAAACCCGGATCCTGTGAACTGTTTAGTAGTCATTTCTTACTCTCATATGTTTTTGTCAAAATAGTTGTGGCTATTAATCTTTACGAGCTGTTTGTACTACTTTGACATGACGCTAGTTTGAAATAATGATGTTAAGCAATGATTACTGAACCAGGTAAAATTAGGCAAGGCAAGGCAAGTTTATTTATATAGCACAATTCATACACAAGGCAATTCAAAGTGCTGAACAAAATAAGAAAGCATTAAAATCATAAATAATCACAGAACATTGAAAAGAAAGATAAAAATATAAAATCCCTCAGTTGTATGCACAGCTAAACAGAACTGTCTTTAACCTGGTTTTAAACATTGTCAGAGAGGAGGCCTGTCTCACATCTCCGCCCCTCTCACTTAGAGGGGCGGGGTCTATTTTCCACATTTGGCTTAATCAAAAATACAAATCATTCTTTGTTTGAGGCTTGTTGGAGAATGTGGCTGTGCTAGTTCCTCTAACCTGGGACTGGGAGGGTGAATACTTCCTGTACTATTCCGTTGCTATTTTATTTTGCACAATTTTGACATGAAGAAGAATTGTAATGAGAGAGGGAAGAAGAAGAGGGGTCTCCATAATGAATAGAACAAGAAGTACCTGCACTGTAATAAGTGAATCAGACCAAAATTTGATGTAAAATACTTAAAAGTAATCACTATATACTTCAATTTTCATTATTTTATATTTTTGGTTGACAAATAAGTACTGTATGATATTATCATAGCACCCTGTACAATACTGAGTTTATTGCTTTAAGTGAAGATACTCTAAGTATGTATTTTGCAAGTGTGGTGTCCAGTTAATGACAAAACAAATATATTGTGTTGATTGAAAACAAATGTATTGGGCGACGCAGTGATACTACCCTGAATGCATTGCAGAGAAAAACAAACTTCTGAAAAATTCAACATTTGAGCATTAATTTTGAGAATGAATATGGAGCAAGTCTTGAAGCAAAACAATTGAGCAACATTTTGAATAAACTAATTTGACCAAATAAATCATTGTAATTATTTTTACCAACTGTAATCGACAGGGCCAAGCCAAAGTACACATATACTGCCTGGGTCATCTTTAGAGAGAATGCCTGTATCAATTTAAAGTCACTTTGTTAACATACAGTGCTTGACAGAAGCTAAACTCTAATTGAGTTGCGTTATTGCTTCTCAATCTGAGAGTTATAGAGTTCAGAACCTTAAGACTAATATATGACTGTCGACTGAGCTTGTATTGTTATGTTCATGGTATTTCTAAAACTAAAATAGTTTAAAAACCTTAAAAAAGAAAAGGGAATAAGCTTTTCATTGAATGAATCATTTCAGAGAGTGAAACGGTTATTGTGGATAGATTTGTTTCACATTCTTAATATCATGAACATTTTAAAATACAACATTTTTGCAATGTTCATAACATTAGGTTTTTGGACATATTTATCCTGGGTCTATAAAGTTAGACTCTAAATGGCATCATCAAACATTCTATCTCTGGAGATATATTCCAAACAGTCCAAGTGTATTTAACTGTTGACCCAAAGAGAATTGAGCATTATTTCTTATTTTGTCTGTTTTCTGTGCCTAGATTGTTATTTTTTTATTGCCCACAATGGAGTTGTTAATAGGTCATTACTAGTGGATATACTTTGTGAGAACATATATTTTTTAGTTTGGGATTATAATTTTCTGCAGTTATTGGGATTGTGTGTGGCCCACCAGCCTAAACAGTTATTAATTGTTATGATTTATTAATAATAGTTGAATCATTCAAAGTAAACATTTTAAAAACTAAGCCCATGCAAAATATCAGCGAGTTGTTTAGCATCAGAAATTAGAATCAGAATTATTTGTATTGCCATTGAAAGTAACAGGAAGTCACAAACAAGGTACAAACACATTGTAAGAGAAAAAATAGATATAAGGTGTGCATTAAATAAAATCTTGATAAAAAGTCTGAATGTATGCAAGTGCACACAATATACATTTAGCAGTACAGTAAAGTGACAGTAGTATATGGTCCAAAGCCACAGGTATTGGAATTCTTTGATTCATTCACTGGAGCTCTATTGCGTACCTGTTAACCATATCAGCCGCTATATGAAGCTTTAGGCTGAGAGCTGATGGCTGCAGTAGGGGTACCAATCAATGAAGCAACATTTATCTTTACTCTTTTTATGAATGATGCCTTGTTATTTGAATGCCTTGTTTCTATCTTGTTTTGTTCAGCACTTGCCTTGTGTATGAACTGTGCTACATAAATATACTTGCCTGCCTTTCCTTCTCATAAAACTGATCTAACATAAAATGCTGTACAGTTCCATAAAGAGTGAAATAGAGTTTATATTTTCAATACAAGTGTTCTGTTCAAACTGATAACAGTTTGTGTAAAGAAGATATTAGCATAGAGAGATGTCCTGCTTCTCTTGCAAGAATGGTAGCTTATTGGAGAAAAGTAATCATTTTAATTTTTGTCTTGACTTTATCCCACCATCCAGCCACTTCGTGTTCAAAGAGGCCAGTTTCATGGACCTGGCATCCAATGAGTTTGTGCTCAGAGTGTTGGGGACTTACAAGGGCCCTGGAGGAGAGAGAGGACTGGTCACCGAGTACATGAGAAGGGGATCGATCGAGTCTTTGCAGAAAGCACTGTCGGGACCGCCACCCTGGCCACTGGCCTTTCGACTGGCCCACCAAATAGCACTGGCCATGGACTTTCTCCACCACAAGAACTTTGTTCATCTGGATCTAAAACCAAATAACATTCTTCTGAATGATACACTAAATGCAAGGGTATGGACATTTTTGTGTTCATGAAGGATGATGTCTAAAAGCTGGAGTACTTAACTTGTTTTGTTTAGTTGCACAGTGGAGCAGCAGTTAGCGCTTGTGCTTCACAACAAGGTGTAAGTGCATGGATTGTGATCATAGACTATAAAGATTAGATTGTGATGATGGTCAGGGATACGATGCGCTAATGTGTTCGGTGTTTCGCTTCTGTCATCACCGTGTGTCCCGCTTAGTGTGACCATGGTCTGTGAAATGCGCTATATAAACAAAGATTACTTACATTCTTACTTACTAATTAAATGATTGTTATTTATCCTAACCGATTCTTGTTTAAGTAACTTTTTGTGAACAAGTCAGACTACAACATGCTTTCTTCATCTTTTGAGAAAACCTTTTAACTTTTACATAATGAGAGGGGATTGGCTGGTGCTCTCTTTATCACTGAAAAAGTTGATCCGAAGATAAAAGTGGTTTCAAAGTCTGCTCCTCCAGCTTTAATACGTGCTTTGAATGATGCCTTTATGGACGTCATATAAAGCACTACTTTACCAATGTTGTAAATTCTACTCTGTCAGAAAAATTTAGTCAAATATTAAATATTTGTTCTATTCTACTTCTCCGGTGTGCAGTTGGCAGACTTTGGCTTATCCACAGTCTCGAGGAGTGTTGAGATGAACAGCACAAACATGCAGACTGGCCCTAGGGGCACATACCCATACATGCCCCCGGAAGCCTTCGATGCAAAATATGAACCAGTGCGAGCTTTTGACCTGTACAGGTAACACAAACTGCAACTTTCATGTCAGTTTTTAACTTCAGACTAAACACATCTCCTTGTGTACAGTTACGGTATTCTTCTCTGGTCAATCTTTACTGGACGAGAACCATATCAAGGTATATGTGATATTAGAAATATCATTTGCAATCTAGTTTTTTCCATCCTAACACCATCCTATGTGTGTTATTAAAGGAGCTCTTTTTAGTCTTGTAGAACTTCGGATCACTGAAGGAGACCGACCTCGATGTGAAGACCTGCTCGGACTTCAGGTAGTGGGAATATCAGATCTAGTTAGTCTTATGAAGAACTGCTGGGATAAGGACCCTCACAAGAGGCCACATTTTAAGGGTGAAGTAAACGCAGACAAGTTTCATGTTTATTGCGGCTGCACTCTGATTACTGACTGAAGGATTACTTTGTTACAGACTGCCTTAAAATAACTGAAAGGCTGTTCCCAGAACACAGCAATGGCATCCAGCGGGCAATTACTGAGGTCCTGGCAAGGCTGGTATTAAACTATCATATATCTCCTATTTATGCTAATTAGCTATAGATGTATTTGTTTAAAAAAAAAAAAACATTTTTTGTAGGAATCATCAAATCAACAAGGTACTGCAAAACCTTCTGCATAAATCCACACACGCCTTGAAAAAATGTGATGTTAGGATTTGCCATTTCTGTTTTCAAGGTATAACTAAGTTAAATGATGTTGAGGGCCAGAGATCAGTCTGTGATGGTGTGAGTTAATCAAAATAACAAATATTTAAAGAAATAAAACATGAATTAATACTTTTTTGCCATAGGCTTCTTTGAGCATTTCCGGTGAAACCATGTCCAGAAAAGGTAAAGGTACAAAAAGACACACTGTTCTTTTCGAGCTGCAATAATATTCCTATATCAAAATAAACTGTTTTAACAATGAAAGCTGAGGTACTTTGATTTTCATCCTTATAAAAAGTAAAAGTAACATGTTATGAATCAGACCACAACATGCCGTCACCGTCTTATTACAAAACATGTTATTTATGGCACATTTAAAAGAAGTCACAACTTTCTTATAAGAAGACAACGACCAAAAATTCATGCATGTGAAAAACAGTGATAGAACCAAACAGTCTTGAGGGCAACAAACAAAGGATTTATTGTGGTTTGAAAGTTAGGTACCCCAGCTTTAACTAAAACATTCAATCCAATGTCTTGTAAACTTAAATCATAACAGCCGTCATCTCAGAGGACCTTACAAAGTCAACGGCCGGCGCAGTTGTGGTCGATTTGTCAACAACAGATCAGACAATCAAACAATTCAAACACAGGAAATACAATAGTAAACACATGGGTTTCCAATGTTCATAAATATTAACAAATGGACATTGGTTGTCCGGTGGACATCACATGATCTAAACTCATTATATTGTATTCAACTTTATTACTCAAAAAATACTTCAACTTACTTTGAACAACCTTGCTCATGCAGTCCAATACTTGCCGGTTGTTTTGGAGATATTCTTCTTGGACCCAAGCAGAAAGCGTGTATCCATCACCAGGAAATAGATTTTATCTCATTTTATTTTATTCTTATCTTAATTTTATTGTCTATTACCTTAAATAATAGACTTATTTGATGTGTGCAATCTGAGTGCTCTTATTTCCTTTCTCTGCTGTAATGTGCACAACGATGACACTGAAATTTCTCCACTGTGAGACTAATAAAGGTTTATCTTATCTTATCTTATGTATCTATCAAACTCAGTTGAGCTGATGTTAGTATTCCTTGTCCGTAATATTAGCTAAATATCTTCTTTTCCAAAAAAATCCAACCTGTTGCTTGCGTTGTGTTTTTCTCGTCTATTCTAGCCGAATTTGTCGATCACCACAAACCGACCATCATCCAGAGAGTCTCGAATGCCCTGGCCATTGCCGAAGAACTTGGAAGCAAGGTGCACAGTGAAATCTATTGCAACATTAGAGCCAAAAAGACAAACCAAGACCGGGTCCGAGAGTTGTACTGCACCACGCTACGGTCGGGTGGGGAAAGGGTTAAAGCCGCCTTCTATGACGCCCTGAAGAAGCACGAGTTTGATCTCATGCAGGACCTGGGTACAATATCTTTATAGCTTTAAGTGCTTAGTATCACATTATGTACTTGTCACTAATAGTTTTCTTTATCTTTTTTGCAGAAAACTAATTCAGAATCACCTTTGTTAAATGACTCTCTTTACAGTTTTGCATTGAGTCTCCTTACAGATCAATGCAAAACTGTTGAATCCCATTGTGTCAAGAGCAGTCAGTCAGGGAGTCACCTGCAGATGATGGGTGGAGGGCATCCCAGGCAAATATAACCTACATCTCACACTCCCGAGCAGCTAATCATTCCACAATAGTTTTCCACAGAATGGATCACAATGAGCAGGTAGATAAAAAAAATTAGATATTAAAGCTGGATTACTTTTCTTTGAAGCCACAAAAACTTCGATAACAGTGTCCATGTAACTAGTTTCCAGGCTTGAAAACTGTTTGGTTCTAGTTTTCACAGGCATGTATTTTTGGCCTCTGTCATATCTTGGAGTACCAGCCCTCACTCAGCCAATCAGCTCTCAGTATGTAAGATAGTATGTCGTGGTCTGGTTTGTTCACAAAATTAACAATTAAACAATACTCTTTCGGTTAGGATAAACAAATGGAATACAAGATATCAAAAAAGTTAGGTACTTTGTAGCTTGGTGGTGGTAAAATTAGTATAAAAAGTAGATACTCTCGTGAAAGTTTCAATAATGAAAAAGATGTCTGAGCAGTTTTGATCAAAATCAATCAATCAACTTTTATTTGTAGAGGGCCTTTCCTACACAAGGCAACACAAAGCGCTTCACAACCCATATCACTTCAGGCATAAATTGAAATCTACATAAAGGTCTAGAATGCAAAATTGCTTCATCAAATGTAATATATCCAGGTAAAAATGTGCTGCTCATTGTCCAAAGTATATTTATTAGATCACAAGTGAGTAATTTCAGTATAGTGAACAAAAAAAAAACACAAACATTTATTTCATCACAGATATTGCCTTGAAGAAGCCATGCAATATGTTTGCATACATTTATTATAGATAATAATAAACCGATGCATAACTCAACAGTACACTTTTCCCTTACACTTCTGTTAAAGTCAACAATCAACTTGAAACCAACTGCTACTCAAAAGCTAATTTAGAAGAGATAATTGTTTCAAATGTTATTTCACTGAAATAATATTATAGGAATATCTCCTTAAACCTGAAGGTCTCCTCATGCTTTTTTATTGTGGAAATCTCAAATGGAGATTGCTCTCAAGTGTTGTACCTAAGTGTAGTGTCTATTTTTGTTGTTTTTGTATTCAGTTTTTTGAGCAACATTCTTTAAAAATATTTTTTTTTTTTGGAGGGGATGCATTAATTTTTCCTTTCCTCTCTGAGTGTAGTCGTTGCCACCCCATGGTAATCCTAAGAAGCGCGTTTAAGTACCATCCTCAGCCACGCTCCTCTGTCTCACCGTCCCAGCCTGGCCCCACCCTGCTCCTGCCCCCCTTTTCCTGCTAATGCCTCCAATCCTCTTTGCGGGAGAGTTACGTGTGCTACTGTCAGAAACGGAGCTAAGCTGAGCGCGTAGTGAAGAAGGATTCTGCAGCCTGCTCCTCTCCTCACCAGCGCAGGCCACCAGGGTGCTGCTCTCCTGGGCAGCGCCACTTGACTAGTCTGTACAACAACACGTCCAGATACGGTGTGGAGTTGAGTATGGCACAAGATAATACCCAAGAAGGACTTCGTCACTGCTATATTACTGTTAAAACTTTGCATTTTTAGACCTTTTTTTTAACTTTGAAGTCATCAACGTGGATGAAGAAGAGCTGTGTTTGCTATTGCGTTACACTTTTAAACACTTTTTAGCCGCTCCTGGACCTGTTTAGAATCCAACAAACATTTGTATTATTGCTTCTTTTGCTTCAATTCAAAACTCTCTCACAGCTAAATCATGGAATTGTGATTTTGAAAGTACACTTCAAGTGCAAGGATCGAATAAGTGTTTTAATGTGAAATCTTCTCACATGGTCGAACATTGGAGCTTTGAGGAACAGATGGTGGGACAGCTTTCTACATCGTCAGGTGTGTCTGAAAGGAGTGCACTCAAAGCACTTGTGAATCTCTTTTAATTGCGGCCTCTTTGAGGGTGTTGGAAAATCCTACAGCTTCCCAAGTTGGATTGTTACCATGACATTTTAGTGGAACAATCACATTTGGAGTATTGCAGACTGCTGCTGGGGATCCCGTTGACAATTGTAACCCTGGATTTCCAAGAGATGGAAGGTCATTGTTTTGACCGATTCGGAGAGGGAGACAGAGAAAACTACCAGATTGACTACAGGAGGATCGTTGGAGACACAGAGCCGGCACGGCCCCGGGTCATGAGCCGGGAAGGGGAGCAGGCACCTCAGGCCTATGGGGCCTTCAGTCACCCCCCTGCACACAGCCACGGTCACGAGACAGCCGCGCAGAGATACAGCGCCACGCGGATCCAGGCCGGATACGAGCCAGAGAGGTCAGTCAAGCTGCACTGCTACCCACTGCACAGGACAGGTTTCTAGAAAAAACACTGTTTCATGGGAGCGGGAATGTGGCCAAAAATATAAATCAAAGTCTTGCAATGACAGTACTCATTTTACATTAAAAAAAACAATTACATTTCAATTTTTGAGGTTAGGTATTGCATGTGCAGAATTGAAAAAATATAAACATGTCTATCACTGATAGATGATTATGTGTGTCATAATATATTACACTTCAAAACATTATATAAAAAAGTATTTGAGTATATTTTTATTGTCAGAAAATGCATGAATGAGAATCGACAAATACATTTCAAACTTTTGTGCTTTAAAAATACTATATATACTATAAATTCTCAAGGTAAATAATTTCACCTCCAGCATGCATGTTCAGCAAGACATTTTTCAGTAAAAGTTATGCATGTTCGCATTTGAATGAGGACTTTCTTTTAAACCCATAACAAGATCCAAAGGTGCCAAAAGAAATCTCAGTTGTTGTATCTGCCACAATTTGTGATGAGGGTGAGGGTCAGGTCTGGATGTTCTTCATGTATGTTGGCTATTACTGTAACAAGCATGTTTACCTGGTCCTTGGCAGCCAACCAAATCCTCTTATCCTCTGTACTGCCGTCACAGCTTTATTGAACTTTCCATTGACAAGGACAGACTCTCGCGATAGCATTTCCCCCTTTCAACTGTTGCCCTATTAGGATTCTGCTCAATCATGGCTCTGAACAGGAGATGGTACTTAATTGCTAGTTTGTTAATGAACACATGCTCTGGAAACATGTCCTAATTTTCCGAATATTTCCGTTCTTGTCACAGTATGGCAGATTACCTGATCAGCGGAGGCACTGGCTACGTCCCAGAAGACGGCCTGACAGCACAGCAACTGTTTTCTATTGGAGATGGCCTCACGTACAAGTAAGATTTGCTCAGATCAGCAAAATAAATTATTATTACGCAATGCTTTCTATTAATATTGGTGATGACACATGTGCCCGGTCATATTATGGAGGGATTATTGGGACTAACACGACTTTCAAGGATGAATGGGTGCTTTGAATGAGACGTGCTGTTCGGATGTCAGCGCGGTAATGGACGAGAGTGTACTTCCCTTAATGGGGGCTATATACAGGGCTTATCACAGCGAGCAGGGTAAATGCTAACGGTTGTATTATGTCAAGCCACAATTATATAAGCTCGTACTTTTGCCGGAATGACTAGACATGTGAAGAAATAGCAGAAGGACATTTGCGAAAAGGTTGGACTGGTTCTTATAATGCAGGGTAAGTATGGAATTTTGAAACACTGTTTTCCAGACCTTGAAAAGTCTTGAATTTTGTGTGAAAGTCTTAATAAAGTATGGGGAAAAAATTTATGGTAGAATTTTACAGTATGCTCAACGGCAGTGTGAAATGAGAAATTGGAAGGTAGGCTATAAAACTATAATACTATAATACTGTATACTATAGTACTGTATTAGCCTAATGGAATGATATCCAATCAACGCTTGCTCTTTTGATTTTTGTGATTGTGTCACTGCTAAGGTCTTGGGGGAAAAAAATATCTGATTTTAAAAAGTCTGGAAAAAGTCTGGAATTTTGATTTGGAAAAAGAGCAAGCACCCTGTAATGTGTCCTGTGTCTTCTCAACAGTGACTTCCTCATCCTCCCTGGGTTTATAGACTTTACTTCAGATGAGGTGGTAAGTATTTGTTACTCATTACACTTTATGCATCCAAAAAGATAGATTTGCCAGCACTGCCATTTCACTTATATACGACAATTAAACATCAAGACGTTTCCCAAGACCAAACTTTGTTCAGTAACGAAGCGTCTCCATGCGCTCAGCAAACAAGGCTGTTTATTTCTTTTCACTTGAATTGTTTTTATCACAGGAGCTCCATCGGGAAATCCATGCTGAGTTCATATGTGTTATGATGTACCTTAACACCTGGGTCCCACACTACACAAATGAACAGGCACATGGAATAAACAAAATCACTTTGGCCAATATACATCTGTAAAATACGACAATGACGTCTTGTCATTAGGTCACTTTCTCACCCATTCATCAGGGTTGTTAGAAGCCGGTTTGGTTTTGGTTTGGTTTAAGTTCAGGTTTAATTTACCTTTTGATGGAAAGAGTTTAGGTTCAGTTGCGGACAGTGTCATGCTCCACACGCACCCTCTGGTGCCTAAAGGGTTGACAAACCTTTCGATCATAAGCGTGTTTTATCCATAATTGTCATTGGTTGTTCATTGTTCATATCAGCTTTTATGTGACACATCATGGTTTTAACCTAAGTAAGTAAGTAAGTAAGTAAGCTTTATTTATATACCGCCTTTCACAGACCAGAGTCACAAAGCGGTTTACAATTGTTATTTTTGGGCACTTGTCTCTCACTCCACACAGAGATGGGAGCGGGGTCGCCAAACAGGAGGCGCATGCCAGACCTATTGTACATATTTTTAGTGGTAGGGGAAACCGGAGTACCCGGAGGAAACCTACGCAGACACGGGGAGAACATGCAAACTCCACTCAGAAAGGCCCTGGTCCGACCGGGATTCGAACCCAGGACCTTCTTGCTGAGAGGCAAGAGTGCTATCCACTCAGCCACCGTGCTGCTGAGCCACCTGGGTTGACAGACATTTTGACAGATCAAATGTAACTTACTACAGTGTATATTAATTTTGTTTTTTATTTAGCTGTGACTGTGCATGTTAATGAACACACTTCCAAGGCCTCAGAGGCACAAGTCACTGAGAAACAGAGAACTCAGATGTATGGTGTAGGCACAGAGACAAAATTAATACAATTGAGACAATACTGTTCCTAGAGTCTTTGAGTTTACACAGGCAGCTGTACAGGACTAGTATTTTGTATTAAGGAGGTGAAAATAATTGCTTTTTTTTATTTTCAATTCATTGCCTTTTGAAGGATCTCACCTCAGCATTAACAAGGAAGATCACCTTGAAGACCCCCCTGATCTCCTCTCCTATGGACACAGTGACAGAATCCTCTATGGCCATCGCCATGGCAGTAAGTAGTACAGTACAGTATTTAACATCTGTTTTTTCAAAGAGTAAATACTTTCTATAGTTTAGTTACTGTCTTATTATGAGAAAGCTACTGGCCGTAGCTTGGATCTGGATGTCTTGACAATAATATAATGATAATCTATTTTTGCTGTAGTTAATGGGGGGAATAGGAATTATCCATCACAACTGCACTGCTGAGTTTCAAGCCAATGAAGTGCGAAGAGTTAAGGTAATAAAGCATTCTAAACTCCAGATTCTAATGTGGATATAAAAAGCCTAAACTTTATGTGGTGTTTTCTGGCAGAAATTTGAGCAGGGCTTTATCACAGACCCTGTAGTGATGAGTCCACACCACACTGTCGGGGACGTATTTGAGGCCAAGATCCGACATGGCTTCTCTGGGATCCCTATCACTGAGACCGGGAAGATGGGTAGCAAGCTGGTCGGTATCGTTACATCCAGAGACATAGACTTTCTGTCTGAGAAAGACCACGACAGACCTCTAGCAGAAGTATGTATATATATATATATATATACACTTTTTTATTTGATTTGCCAAACTGTATTTCAAACTTGTGTTGCAATGAACAAAAACAAACATGACACATTATTTTGCTCCAACCCCTCTCACTACGTCAACAAAACACACAGACTCTCTGGGTCTACACCTCTCCCATCACTTGCTGAGAGCATCACTCTCCTCCACTCACTTCTTCAGAGTTTTTCTTATTAAAATTGAATCATGTGTGAAGATGAATGTTGTTATTTCATCTGCTAAATGTTACAAATGTTAACTTCATATACATATCGATGGATTGATTGTTTACTTAGGCACACATCATGTGTATTTATATTTGTGAACTCATAAATACATATACTGTAATGCTGGTTGGACATAATCATTCCTTGTTTTGATACTATTCAACTATGTTTTGGGTTGGATATTTAGGACAAACATCTCAACATTTTTGACATACTGTTTCAAATTAAACTGAATCTATGATGGCCAATGTGGAGATTATGATTAATAATGCACTAAATTGTCTTCACTCATTGTGAAGGAAAGGTCTGGTTGTGAGGTTCTTTATCCTCTCTGGTGGTAAAGAGAGGATTCCCAGTCATTATTGGCAAAAATCGCCCTGTTCCTGTAAATTCATTGGCCTCCCTGCATGAACTCTTCACCGATTGAAAATAATAGAAAACATGTTTCATTGACCTTAAATTGTTTCACACAACTTCTAACGATGAGTGCTGATAAGTTTTGTCTTATTCACAATTTCTTAAAATATGGGCAAAACAATGACATTATTTATTACAAAGTGTGCTAGATTTGTTTCCCCAGCCCTAATTTGACGTCTTTTGATCCAGGCAATGACCAAAAGAGAAGATTTAGTAGTTGCACCAGCTGGAGTGACACTAAAAGAAGCCAATGACATTCTGCAGCGTAGCAAAAAAGGCAAGCCTTACAGAGCAGACTTATCTAAAGCCATAATAATCATATATAAATAAAACGTATCCACTTGCAGGAAAGCTGCCCATCGTGAACGACAGTGATGAGCTCGTGGCCATCATCGCTAGGACGGACTTGAAGAAGAACAGGGACTACCCGCTGGCCTCCAAAGACTCCCGGAAACAGCTGCTCTGCGGAGCGGCCATCGGGACCAGGGAGGACGACAAGTACCGGCTGGACCTCCTCATGCAGGCCGGGGTGGACGTGGTCGTGCTGGTGGGTCCCACAGGAGAGGGGCATTGAACTGTCTCTGCACAGAACACTTGAGCAGTGTTAGTATGGAATAGTATGATTTGTTTAGTGGAGTGAAGAGTGACCCTTTGAAAGAGGATATATTGTGCAAAATTGACTCTTGTTCACACACACACATGATTCATGCAAATCTGAGGAATCGATATTTATGACCACCCTTGTTTTCACCACCATGGCACTTGCTTTGTTTATGGATTTTTTAAATTAACACTTGGGTGCAGTGGTTAGCACTTGTTCTTCATGGCAAGACGTTCCTGGGTTCCATTCCATAACCAGATGGAGCCTTTCCATGTGGAGTTTGCATCTTTTCTCTGTGTCTGCATAGATATCCTGTGGGTGCTCCATGAAAACATGTATAAAAGTTCAGGATGAACGAGTGTTTGTGAGTGCAATAGATGCACCACAGGCATTTTGGCACGAATAAAAGTGCAAGTAATTTTCAATATCTTGGTTGTGTCATATCTAAAAACATTTTGCTCTGCTAAGTAAGTAAGTAAGTAATCTTTATTTGAATAGCGCATTTTTACTGACCAAGGTCACCAAAAGCTCTTTACAATTGCTGTGGGCATTTGTCTCTCCACAGAGAGATGGGAGCAAGGTTGCCATACAGGAGGCGCATGCCAGATCTATTGTACATGTTTTTAGTGGTAGGGGAACCCTACGCAGGTGTCCTCCACAGGGGAGAACATGCAATCTCCACACAGAAAAGCCTGGTGGTGGAATGGACCTTCTTGCTGTGAAGCAGAAGTGCTAACCACTGTGCCACCGTGCCGGCCGGTAATAAATAAATACATACAATATGTAAAAAGCTAATTTCTAGACTTTTAATAAAATAAAAAAAAGCCTTTTCTAACTAAAACAGGCTTTTGTTGCTTAAATGCACCGCCCTTCTGACCCCTGCCCTAACGTACTCATAGCTAAGTCCTATTCATATTTGGCGGCAGGGAAATCATGATTTCTGAATGTTATCATACATGAAGGAGTGGTATGCTGCCATAATGTGTTTCCTTTGTTCTTTCCTTCTTTTTTGTTGTATTTTAATTTCAGGATTCTTCACAGGGGAACTCAGTTTATCAGATTAATATGATCAACTACATCAAACAGAAATACCCTGAGCTGCAGGTGGTGGGGGGAAATGGTAAGTTATTTCTTTTATCTCCACTTATGACACGCACATGAGCTACTAAAACATTTACCTGGGAATTGGCTACATACAGTAAACGCATCCATTCATCGTGTGGCTTAAAGCAGGGGTCACCAGGAGTTATTTGTTGGTTTTATATGTACTTTGCAGTTCCATTTCATTTCTCCACAAATACGATTGTATCTTTATAAAAGTGGTGTTGCAGGTGGAAAGAAAGGATTTTCCAGATCTTTTCAAGACTTGATTGTTGTCAAATTATGTCTTTGGATTTGAGTGATGGTGCTGCTTTCTTTTTGTACAGTTTTTGTTCCATGTGTCAAGTGAACTGGACTCAGAAGTCTTTTAAAGTTCTTTTAGTTTCCCCGTTTTCATTAGTTGAAGGAGGGATATGGATGAAACAGATGAAGATAACCTTACATGAAATGAATGTACAATATTCACAAATTGTACATGAAAACGCACATATCCATACACAATCATGAACAGGGGGGAGCAAAAGCTAATTTTGATCCATATTTGAACCAATGCGTTTCATCAGCCTGCATTTTATTACTCAATCAGTTTTAAATTAACATTGTACAATACAATTTACTCTGACCTGAAAGTGTGACATTGTGTACATATTTCCATTGTGAGATCAATAAAGTTCATATTATCTTCCTCAGTAAAAGTTGTTTTTGTCTTCCACAAGGGGGCAACCTGTCCTGATCGTATTTTATTCTATTGTAATTATCTTTCTCCAGTGGTGACGGCTGCTCAGGCTAAAAACCTCATTGACGCTGGAGTGGATGCGCTCCGAGTGGGAATGGGTTGTGGCTCCATCTGCATCACTCAGGAGGGTAAGAACAAGCCAACACTGTCAAAACTAAGTTACGAAAAGTGGTCTTATCACACACTCAGACATCCCCTCTCTACAGTTATGGCATGTGGCCGGCCCCAGGGAACCTCTGTGTACAAGGTGGCAGAATACGCCCGGCGTTTTGGGGTGCCTGTGATCGCAGACGGTGGGATCCAGACGGTGGGACACGTGGTGAAAGCTTTGGCGCTGGGGGCATCAACAGGTACAGTATGTCATTATAGCAAGATTTATTTATTTTAAATGTTTGCACCTTGTACTATTATATATTAGCCTTGTATTTTTAAATAGAGGAACATCTTATTATTATTTACAAATTTTTCCAATTGTACACCCTCTGATGATTTCCACAGGGTGTAAAACAAGTACATTTGAAAAAAAAAAAATATATATATATAATGGTACAAAAACATTATTGTAAGAACGCTCTTTAACAGACAGCTCATGTGACATCACAACGTTGTATCAAATTGAAGGAACAAAGATATTGTGTTCCTTCTATTTGCTAGAGAAAAAATATTACTCAAACATATAGGAATATTTAAACAAGACCATTCGATATCTCAGAATACTGCACTGGGAGCTTACTCCTCCAAATGTCTGCATGTTTGTAGTCATGATGGGATCCTTGCTCGCGGCGACCACTGAAGCTCCTGGAGAGTATTTCTTTTCTGACGGCGTACGATTGAAGAAATACCGTGGGATGGGCTCCTTGGACGCCATGGAGAAAAACAACAGCCAGAAGCGTTATTTCAGGTGTGACAAATGTTTCAATGCATAGGATATACTACATGTTTCACTCTCGAGCTAAAATGGCTGTACGTACATGGGAAATATGGTCAGGGTTGAGCAGCAGATGTGACATTACACCTTTAAAATAATGTTTTGTTATTATAAATGTGATGCGTTTCATTCTCTTTCCAGTGAAGGAGACAAGGTCAAAGTGGCTCAAGGTGTGTCCGGCTCAGTGCAAGATAAAGGGTCCATCCATAAGTTTGTCCCCTACCTCATCGCTGGTATCCAGCACGGCTGCCAGGACATAGGAGCCAAGAGTTTGTCAATATTACGGTGCGTACAAACTAAACAGGCTCTAACAGATTCTGATTCCTTGACTTATCCACCTTTTTTATTGGATGAACATGATTGCGTTCAAAGCAAGGATATTGATAAAATCCAAGGATAGGAACCTGGTCGCCCAGAGAACGACATTCTGAACTTTCAATGGGACTATCCTGGATACATTAAAAATAAATATATAAATGTTCGAAAAATGGGGATTGTTGCAATTGTCATTGACAATTCAAGGAAAGATATTCCTTGCAATGGGAAAATGGTTCTCAAAATCTTTGATGAAACAGCATGCTGAATCTCAGGAATAGTGTAAGGTTTGTCCCCACAGGCTGAAAATGAAATGTGCTTATGGTGCCGACAATTTTTTTTGACTATTAGAGGAGACGATTGAGCGCTATAGTAGACAGATTGGTCCAAATATGGATTAATGAATGTACTGCCTTTTGTGCTCATATAGAGAGTGTGTGTATACATTTCTGCTAGGTCAATGATGTACTCTGGGGAGCTGAAGTTTGAGAAGAGGACCATGTCGGCACAGATGGAGGGCGGGGTCCACGGCCTTCACTCGTAAGTGTGACCTTTAAACTGTGAGTAGATGCGTCCGTCATTGTCACTACCGACCCTTTAGCTGCATGCGCTTGTTCCATTTTCCAAAGACATGACATGCTTCTGCCTGCTATAAAGCGAGAACCCCCTCTACATTGTTTCCCACAGACTGCATACACAATCCTCGCCACATTATTTGTTGTCTATGTGAGAATAGCTGTATCACATATTTCTCTCTTCATTTTCTTCTTCATGCTCACTTTCTAGATATTCTTTTGTGCCATGTAAGTACATAAGCTATTATGTCGCTACTCAATTCATACATTTACAATTAAACTTTCATTTTGTGATTGTAGTTACGAGAAGCGACTATACTGAAAAAGGAAGGAGAGGAAGCACTGTGGTCGGCCCAATTGTTCCGACGACGATCACTGCACGCAAAAAATGAAATGAATGTCACATTTTTAACTTTTATTTTCTTGTGATTTCAAACTCCGATCTAAAACGTCTCAGGAAAGGTCCCCCTTAAGTAGGACAAACTACCCCTACCTCACTCCAGCACTTTGTTTGAATGGCCTACAGTAGGAGGCTACAGTATATCTGGATGGTCTGCTGATGTATTCTTGTAGGGAAAAGGATAAAGGAGAGGTAAGACAGAAAGGTATTTTTACAATGTGGTTTGAGACACTCATTAGATTGTGAAACAACCACTGCTTTCAAAGTTAAAAACGTAGCCAAATGAACCGTTGTTGTGTTGTGTGGCTGGATCTGTTTTTTTTTTTTGAGTGACAGGAATCATTCAGGGAACCAAGCTTTAGAATTAGCCTTAAATCACAGGAAACAAATATTTATTCATAAAACACAAGTTAATTTCCATTCATTCATTTTTCCAAGCATTTTATTTTTCCCAAAACACAACACAAACATCTGCTGCATATAAAAAATATGAATAAATATCTTGTACTTAAGAACAATATATATTTTCTGAGTGTAATAGACCTTACCAGTTTGATTTCTATGTAGAAATATAGCAGTTTATGTTTTGCTAAAGAATATATATTATAAACTGTATATTATTGCAAATGTATTCATTCATGTCCCATGTCATGTTGAAACTGTACACACCCAGGAATGTGGTGTTCCAGGTCACACTTCTCACAGATCTCAAACACTGTCTCACTGTCGACTGGTGAACCAAATAAAAATATAAAAAATGATTGTTATCTTTGTCATGTTTTTTATACTCTGATTATGGTGCTTGACTCATAAACAGAATTAAATACTTGTTATTCTTACTGTGATAATTATTTTTCTAACATGTGTCTACACTATTCAAATCATGCATAGGTGTGCTCCATAGCGTACAGTATTCTCGTGGAGTTATCTGGTTACAAAGTGAGCCACTAGAGGGCACTAAACTGGCGAACACTCCATACATACAGCATAAGTACATTCAATGCAACTGCAAAATTAATTCTTACAAGAACAATATAATTAGTTGTATTATTTCTTTTCATTATTAACACAAAACCAATATAATTAAACTTTTCTCTTTGTTCTCTAAAAATAGAGAGGACTGTAAAGCAATGATTCACACATGTACTAACTAGACAATATTGAAAATGTTCATACAAAACCAAGAAGACTACAGAAGTAGCAAAAGAAAGTAAGGAATTGGATAAAAATTACTATAACAGGACTAAACTTGACAATATCAGCATTAAACCAAAGACTTAACAGGAAACCAAGATTGAATAGTTATAATATAAATTCTGGCATAGTAATGTATTAAAGGAGACATAATGTGCAAACACTTTGAGCGTTTAACTGCGTTACAACATTGTTTCTCCTCAAAATAAGTCCTTGAGTTGTTTTAGATCCATCCAAGCTAGTATCAGGAACTTCAGGCACAAACATGTAACTGCCCTTTCTGTATAAAAGATCCTGTCTAAGTCCTGTAATAATAGGCTGCTATGACATCAAGCCTTTTAAAAGAAAATTATTGTCCACAAATGTCTCTGGCAAAACTACATTCTTTGCAATCATATTACAGTGGTTGAAGCTGGTGATTTTCAAATTCAAAACTCCTTTCTGGTGGTAGCGTAGGCAAAGGGCAGGCAGATAGCAATATTTACCATTGATACTAGTTTCACCAAATATAATTTCCAAAACATTACATGACAAAGTAAATAGTCTCATTAGCATTTTTAATGGACAAATATAATACGCATTTTTTGTTATTATAATAAGCAGCGAGAATGTGTCACTGTCTGAGAACCACTGCTTTTATAACCCCTTCTAAACATGAGGCAACAGTAGGCCTACAAGTCAATAGTGTCACTGCACACGCTCAGAGCATCAATCTGCCGGCACACGTTAACAAACTCTGCCTGCACAGCCATGTCCCATTCCAACTGCTTACTTTCGCTCATCTGTTTAGTCCCGGCCAGCTTAATGGAGCGCTTACTGTCCTGGGACGCTGAGCTCATTGTTCGAAACCTTTTATAATGCGCCAAATGTGTGATTGCTCTAGGAAGACTGCTGTGGGCAAAATTGTTCCCCCGATTAGCCCACGAATGAGACCGCACCTTGCCGAATTCTTTTGGCTTTCGACACAGTTCTTGAGTTGACCCATTGACGCTTTCTTTCCAATAACATTGCTTTGGTGATTGCTCTTGTGTCTTTCGTTCTTGTTCAATATCCTTACAAGACGCGGCCCGGTACAGACCGTTTTCCGCCAAACCAGAATTTGCTTGGTGGTTTAAGGAAAGACTTGAAGATGTTTGGAAAAGCCTTGGCCATTCGAATAGACCACGAGAAAGGAGGGATTCGCTGCACAATGCCTGGTCAATACTTCGAGAAAGGTTTATGGGGGATGGGGGGCGTAAGTCTACCGTTGAATCAAGTCTATTCAGGTAAATTGGATTGGTTTCTGTTGAGATTTTTAGGTTCAACCTCGGACTTTGTCTCCTAGGAGGTTGGTCATATGTTTGGTTTGATTTCTGGGAACAGTCCACCCCATTCCCATAAGAAGCCATCGGACAAAGCGGAAGACTGTCCGACTTTTCTTCACCAACATGTTGCGTTTTATTCTGATCTAAAGAATCTTGAGATGACAGAATGCCTTCCGAAACTAGTTCCACCTCTCGCGTAGGTGAAAGCCGGCTCCAAGACCCCATATGAGGTTTGATGAGGGTTTTGATTGAGTTCCGGCAAAATACGGGGGAACTTCCAACAATTACTAACCCTAGACATACACCAATCTCACAAATGTGGCTACCCAATTGGAAACCGAACCAAGGCCAAGGGTAGAAACCTATGTCATTGTATCCACCATATCCGAGGGAATGCAAGAGGGCATAAAGTTGAAAGCCTCCACAACTCAGCAAAAAAATGGAAGCAGCCAAACTTGATCGCACAGCTCGTTGCCAGTCTTCTATTCGAGCGAACGGACTCCTTGGCGGGCGGATGACTTCAGGAGAACACCCGCTTTCTCCATTGTCGTTAAGTCTGTAAATGTGCTTGCTATCCACTCGTACAAGGCAGTAGAAGACAAAATACGAACACGCTAGAAAAATTGAAAGACATACAAAGGTTCCTTGAGGGATCAGTAGGATTATAGTTGGAAGTTTTGGAAAAAGTTCAAGTATGCCAACGCAACCTAAGGATAACCCAAAATGGAAAACTGACAACGATATTAAAAAGCACGGTTTGGGCAGTGCTGAAAATGATGGAGATATTGCAAGAGGGAGAGAAATTTGCAAGTTTGACCGTAAAGATAGAAGGATAAAAGTAGCGGAGAATGCCAATATCAAACACGGGAATGGTAGCGTGCAAACTGGCAGCAAATATAGCGGTGGAAGTCGATCTTGAAAACTGTAAGCGTCATAAATCAAAACAAAGGCTTGTATCCCGGTGAACGAAAGAAGGAAAAAATTTACAATGCCGAAATATAGGATTCCAGGAGGACATCGCAACGGCAATGCAAATAGGCAAAAAAATGAAAGCAGGCCAATGGCACCAAAGATAGATACTAAGCCGTAGACGTGGGCTTCCCAGGCGAGACCCCACGTGGCCAGGGCAGAGTTCCAATCAGAGTACAAGGGGATGAAGAGACTAAGGCTGAGGGGCAGAGAGAGGTGTTGGTGGTTGGATGGTTGTGGTGAATAGTCGTCTGTGTCATTGGATAATAGGCATGGTGCTGTGGTGGTATTCTGGAAGCCTCTGGACGTATCTAGAACAAGAGCAAAAAATAAGTGAACATTCAACAGCAACAACAACATTTAGTGCATTTAGTGTATAAGATAAGATAGAATTTATTGATCTCACACAGGAGAAATTTACAAATCAAGCATCCTTTCCCACATAACTGTCAGGTTGGATTTGATGAATAGCAAAAATTAAATGAAACAATATTGTTGGACTCATTGACTCATCAATTATATCCAAAAGGGTATTGCTTAGAGTGTGAATTGGAGCTGCCTAAAGAGTTTAAGATAAGATAAGAATTCTTTTATTCGTCCCACTGTGGGGAAATTTCGATGTTGCAGCGCACATATAGGACAGTAAGAGCACACAGGGAGCACACACAATATATACAAATAAGTAGTAGCTATGTTTCTTAGCTAACATAACGAGCTGTAGATGCTGAAAATGCTTCAATACCAGTCAAAAAATATATATGTAGTAGTAGTGCAGTTATATACTGTACAGTTAAATAGTGCAGGATAATAAGTAGATAAGTAAAGGGACATTGTTCTGTGACATTCTGAAGTTGCAGTATTGCACATTGCACATGATTTAAGAATTTACTTAATTACAGATTCATGAGATTTACAGGCTCAGCAGTTCTTATTGTACAGTCTGACAGCAGCAGGAAGGAAAGACCTACGGAACCTCTCCTTCACACAGCGAGGGTAAATTAGTCTGTCACTGAAACTGCTCTCCAGAGCAGAGAGAGTGTCCTGCAGGGGGTGACAGTCATGGTCCAGCATAGATGAAAGTTTGCTCAGGACCCTCCTGTCCCCCACCTGCTGCACTGTGTCCAGGGAACAGCCCAGGACTGAGCTGGACTTCCTGATGACCTTGTCCAGCTTCTTCCTGTCCCTCTCTGTGATACTGCTGTTCCAGCAGACCACACCGTACAAGATGGCTGATGCCACCACAGAGTCATAGAAGGTCTTCAGGAGTGGCCCCTGCACTCCAAAAGACCTAAGCCTCCTCAGCAGGTAGAGGCGGCTCTGGCCCTTCTTGAAGAGGGCGTCTGTGTTGTGAGTTCATTCCAGTTTGTGGTTCAGATGAACACCCAGGTACTTGTAAGAGTCCACTATCTCAATGTCCTTTCCCTGGATGTTCAATGGAGTTGGAGCTGGAGCTGGCTGTTTCAAGAAGTAAAAGACATCATTTGAATTCCCAATAGTTGTTTCAAAAATTCCAGCTATCAAGAGACTAGAGACTGAAGGTGCAACTCTGTTGTGATTTTGGAGAACCCTAAATCCCATTCGATCCTATCATTTTTAAGCAGAATTCACCAAGCGTGAACTGGGATTAGATCGTTGTGAGATAGGTTAGTTTTACCCTACTGATGATGTGTTGTTGCATTTTGGAGAACCCTAAATCACAACAGCTGTTGCCTTGGAGGACTCTACAGCGTTGTTAATTCCTCAACAACACAAGATCAAAAACCACTCAAACACCTACTGGGAAAAAGTGAGAAACCTCAGGGAGACCGACAATGAGAGAGGCATCCGCTTGATATTATATTGGGAAATTCACTTCCTGAAACCTTAAGCTCCACCCTCTTGCTCCGTAGAACTTGAAACACTGATTAAGAGTTTGCCATCTAATTGAGTCCATGGGGAGGTTTTGACTGGAACGTTCCATGGCATAAGTGACACCATATGTGTCAGCTCATTGTAAAAAAAAAAATATATATATATACAGTATATACTGTATATATAATTTATTCTATTAAAGATCATTTCAAAGCATGTCAGGTAATTGTCAAGTCTCAAACTGCCAAGCTTCAAAGATATGACAGGATCAGGCTTCTAGAATATGATCTCAACCATGCAAATCCTTCCAGAAAATTCAATAGAAAACCCACATGGATGCAGTTTGCTCTGGGGAGAACATGCAGTGCACGTTCTTTTTCAATGACGCAAACAAGCCTTATACATATTTATTTGTTGTGATTTAGGGCTATACAGAATAAATGTGATTGAATTTTACACCTATAAAGTACATGTCCGCCACATGCACCCAATGGAATAAAATGCCCCAAAATGTTTTCCCATTTTGATTCTGAACATAACCCGCAGCGCTGCACGTTGATCACCCAGTTTTACTTGTCCAAAAATAGAGGAGCTCTGGCTTGTGAGTGAATCCATAATAAAAGAGAGCGGGGGGTTTGTAAGTGGGTCACACACTGAGGAGAGAGAGGCTGCTGATTAGCCTGTATTGACTTTACTGCTGCTCTCATTCTGACTGGAGTACTATTATTAAGTGTGACCTGCTGCTAACGCTTAAATATTTAATCAGAATTAGCGTTGGAAAAATAAATCATCTCAACTAATACGATATAAAACGTTTCTCAACATCCAACAGTTTCTCTCTTGCATTTCATGGTTGTGATTTTGGTCTCAGTGAAAATATTGGTGTGGACTTTAGGGCTGGAATAAACTACTATTTTAGATTAATCGCTTTGTTGTTTAAATGTCGAATAAGTGATTTTGTATTAAGTTGCTAACACTAAAGCGATGCCACTCTAGAATAATGGCTGTTTGATTATAAATACTTACAAAAACTTTAAGAATTGCAGTAATCTGTAGTAATTATCACTCTGACATGGCTTAAACCTCTTCATAACAGGTTTTGGTCCAGGTAGGCTTCAAAAATGTATTAATTGATTGTATATAACAAAGCAGGGAATTCTTTGGGTTCTTTCGTTGGTGTTTGAATATTAAGGCTGTTGAGGTGACCAATTTTAAAGCTGGAGTATCTGATGATTTCTTTTTAAAGTCACAACAGAAAGAGTCTTGTTTCTTGAATTGGCTTTATGATTAGCAAACATTTTATATTGTATATTCTGAGAACTGATAAAGTTGCAACAGAGAAAAACAAAATACATGTGTGTGGAAACTCATGATGAACCAAAAGTAGTGCTGCTGGTTTCACAGTCTGGTACAATATATTGACAATATATTCATACTGATTTTATTTACAAATATGTATCACGCTGTCTATGGAGTAATTACAGAACAGCAGGAGAATCCCTGTGAACCAGCTGAACAAATAAGCAGCAGAATTAAGCAATAATCAGCCATGACAGTGATACATAATACTGAAATTGCCAAGGAAATGTACATACAAGAAAAATGCATCCCCATAATATATCGACCCGTCTTGGTTAACTGACATGGTGTTACATTGACAGGCCTAATGTTATTGCAAAGCCCTCATAAGATCTGAAGACTATTTTTCCACTAATACAAAATTGAGCTCACAAAGGCCACAGTTCTTGAATAGTTAGTCTAATTCCGGAGCTCAATGTTGTGTGTGTCAATAGTAATAACGCTGCAGTGTTTGTGGACTCTTCACTTGACTGACTTTCGCAGACTGGCGTCAGGGCTGTGCTAACTATTCAGGAATGCACCGCAAAGGTAAGGATCCACAGTGAATACGCATTTACAATCTTCGCAAAAGGAAATTTAAAAAACATCCAAATCACATTAACGTGCAATGCAGGATAAAGATTGAACTCGATGTATGCTTCAGCAAGTCCAGCTGGTATATTTTCTCTTTTACCTTGCATTTAAGAGTGAAGGACAAAATACCCATGCCAGATCATTATCATCAATGCATTTCAACTTTTTAGTTTTGATAAATTAGCATTTTTCAGTTGTAAAGGAGAATAGAGGTTTTGCACCTCCACATGACCTACATAGCAACAGTCACTACGCCGCCATGTTGGATGGCACGTTATGAAACTCTATACTGTCAGATTCACAATGCGGCCGAGAGCGCACCTTTATAGACTGATGGGAAAGTTTTATAAATATATAATCCTCTGTTTATAATGTAGATTATGTATACTTCCATTTGGAAATAAGCTTCACAAAATAAAAACAACAAATAAGGGTGTCCCTATTGTTTTGCTAGCTCCATGCTGAAGTCCCTACTCTCGAGTGCGTCCGATTTGTTAAATCAATTTTAAATGCATCAGTTTTATATAGCGCTTTTTTGGACACTCAAAGACGCTTCACATGTCATTATTCATTCACTCCAAACACAGTGGTGATAAACTACTACTGTAGCCATAGCTGCCCTGGGGCACACTGACAGAAGCGCAGTAAGGGCAGGCTCCTTTTGTGGCACCGGCACCTGCCACAGCTGATTAGTGGCATGTACACAACAAATGGCGTTTAAAACGGCATGTACACAACAAATGGCGTTTAAAACGGCATGTGGACAACAAGTGGCGTTTAAAACGGCATGTGGACAACAAGTGGCATTTAAAACGGCATGTGGGGAATAAATGGCGTGTAAAGCGGCATGTGGACAACAAGTGGCGTTTAAAACGGCATGTGGGGAATAAATGTCGTGTAAAGCGGCATGTAGACAACAAGTGGCGTTTAAAACGGCATGTGGGGAATAAATGGCGTGTAAAGCGGCATGTGGACAACAAATGGCGTTTAAAACGGCATGTGGGGAATAAATGGCGTGTAAAGCGGCATGTGGACAACAAATGGCGTTTAAAACGGCATGTGGACAACAAGTGGCGTTTAAAACGGCATGTGGGCAACAAGTGGCGTTTAAAACGGCATGTGGACAACAAATGGCGTGTAAAGCGGCATGTGGACAACAAGTGGCGTTTAAAACGGCATGTGGGGAATAAATGGCGTGTAAAGCGGCATGTGGACAACAAATGGCGTTTAAAACGGCATGTGGACAACAAGTGGCGTGTAAAGCGGCATGTGGACAACAAGTGGCGTTTAAAACGGCATGTGGGGAATAAATGGCGTGTAAAGCGGCATGTGGACAACAAATGGCGTTTAAAACGGCATGTGGACAACAAGTGGCGTTTAAAACGGCATGTGGACAACAAGTGGCGTTTAAAACGGCATGTGGGGAATAAATGGCGTGTAAAGCGGCATGTGGACAACAAGTGGCCTTTAAAACGGCATGTGGGGAATAAATGGCGTGTAAAGCGGCATGTGGACAACAAGTGGCCTTTAAAACGGCATGTGGGGAATAAATGGCGTGTAAAGCGGCATGTGGGCAATAAATGCCGTTTAAAACGGCATGCGGACAACAAGTGGCGTTTAAAACGGCATTTGGACAACAAGTGCCGTTTAAAACGGCATGTGGGGAATAAATGGCGTGTAAAGCGGCATGTGGGCAATAAATGGCGTTTACAACGGCAGTGGGAAATAAATAGCGTTTAAAACGGCATGTGGGCAACAAATACCGTTGAAAGCAGCCTGTACAAAAGACAACAAGCAGCATTAGTGGAGCTAGTGGTCTAGTGGCTCAGATGGAAAAGCACAGGTCTACGGTGTTGATGGTTACTAGTTCAAATCCCCAGTGACTACCAATGGCATTTGCTGATGTTGGGTCCTTGGGCCTAACACTTCATGAAGAATGTCAGAAGTGCCAAAAATTGTTTGAAAAATGTTGTTTGAGTAGTAATAATATATGTTATTGCATAAATTTGTTGAAAGACTTAATTTCATGTATTATATAAAGTTTAAATTCCATATGAGCTGTGTCATCGAGTGGCGCACTTGGTTTATAACTGCCTCCCATGCAGAAGATACCTGGTTTAAATCCAGTATGGGCCGTTGTTTTTTTTTTTGTCAGATTAAATACAAATTTAATATGTATGAGATATATATATATATATATATATATATATATATATATATATATATATATACAAAAGAACAAAAGAAAAAATAATTTTATTTCTCTCTCTTCTTTAATAAAACCACATCAGAAACACGGAACAATAAGAAAGAGCATTAATACATATATTTTTTTATAAAAGAATGCAAAGTATAAGACACAGCTTAAACGGTCCGAGAACAGAAATTAAGATTTTAACAATATAGAGATGAAACCTCATGTTCCAATTACACAACTTTCTGCTTGTATTTTTCAATCCATCACTCTTCACCATCTTTGGTTGGCTCCATTCTTGATGAAATGTCCAAAAACAACAATACAATCTTTCAGTTTTTTCTTTGCCAAAACACAAAATAAGTGGCGCAGTCATTAAACATTTGTCTATAGTGCGTAAGATTGGCAGATCGAATCAAAGTACTGTTTTTTTTTTTTAATGGCAGTTATATAAAAACTGTATATATATATATATAAAGATATATATAGATATTTATAGATATATAAATGTATAAAGAAATAACCGTCATAAAAAAGTTTTTGATCTTGGCTGGATTTGAATCTGCAAACTCTTGCATGATTGGCGGACACACACCAGCTATACCACTCACCAGGTGGTTTTAAGTAAAATTGTGTCTTGAGTGTTTTACACATCATTTAGTTTTACCCTAACGATGATGCAATATTAATCCTAATGCAAGATTACTATTGGAACAACACATAGCCATATGTATGAAATATATATTCATACATATTCAATTTGTATTTAATCTGACAAAAAAAAAAATAAAGACCAGACCTGGATTTGAACCAGGAATCTTTGGCATGAGAGACAGTTACAAACCAAATGCGCCACAGGAATATAAGTCTTTCAACAAATTTTAAATTTAATTTATTATAACTCAAACTACATTTTTCAAACAACTTATGGCACTTCTGACATTCTCCATGAAGTGTTATGCCCAAGGACCCAACATCAGCAAATGTCATTGGTAGTCACTGGGGATTTGAACTAGCAACTATCAACATCATAGACCTGTGCTTTTCCATTTGAGCCACTGGACCACTATCTCTAATACTGCTGCTTGTAGTATTTTGTACAGGCTGCTTTCAACTGTATTTGTTTTACACGCCATTTATTGCCCACATGCCGTATTAAACGCCATATTATGTCCACATTCCGTTTTAAACGCCATTTATTGTCCACATGCCGTTTTAAACGCCATTTATTGCCCACATGCCGTTTTAAACGGCATTTGTTCCCCACATGCCGTTTTAAACGCCATTTGTTGTCCACATGCCGCTTTACACGCCATTTATTCCCCACATGCCGTTTTAAACGCCACTTGTTGTCCACATGCCGCTTTACACGCCACTTATTCCCCACATGCCGTTTTAAACGCCACTTGTTGTCCACGTGCCGCTTTACACGCCATTTATTCCCCACATGCCGTTTTAAATGCCACTTGTTGTCCACATGCCGTTTTAAACGCCATGTCCACCGCTTTACACGCCATTTATTCCCCACATGCCGTTTTAAACGCCACTTGTTGTCCACATGCCGCTTTACACGCCATTTATTCCCCACATGCCGTTTTAAACGCCACTTGTTGTCCACATGCCGCTTTACACGCCATTTATTCCCACATGCCGTTTTAAACGCCACTTGTTGTCCACATGCCGCTTTACACGCCATTTATTCCACACACTTGTTGTCCACATGCCGCTTACACCTTTATCCACATGCCGTTTTAAACGCCACTTGTTGTCCACATGCCGCTTTACACGCCATTTATTCCCCACATGCCGTTTTAAACGCCACTTGTTGCATCCTGCATTTTCAATGCGTTTTAAACGCCACTTGTTGTCCACATGCCGCTTTACACGCCATTTATTCCCCACATGCCGTTTTAAACGCCACTTGTTGTCCACATGCCGCTTTACACGCCATTTATTCCCCACATGCCGTTTTAAACGCCACTTGTTGTCCACATGCCGCTTTACACGCCATTTATTCCTTACATGCCGTTTTAAACGCCACTTGTTGTCCACATGCCGCTTTACACGCCATTTATTCCCCACATGCCGTTTCAAACGCCACTTTTTGTCCACATGCCGTTTTAAACGCCACTTGTTGTCCACATGCCGCTTTACACGCCATTTATTCCCCACATGCCGTTTTAAACGCCACTTGTTGTCCACATGCCGCTTTACACGCCATTTATTCCCCACATGCCGTTTTAAACGCCACTTGTTGTCCACATGCCGTTTTAAACGCCACTTGTTGTCCACATGCCGCTTTACACGCCATTTATTCCCCACATGCCGTTTTAAACGCCACTTGTTGTCCACATGCCGTTTTAAACGCCACTTGTTGTCCACATGCCGCTTTACACACCATTTATTCCCCACATGCCGTTTTAAACGCCATTTGTTGTCCACATGCCGCTTTACACGCCATTTATTCCCCACATGCCGTTTTAAACGCCACTTGTTGTCCACGTGCCGTTTTAAACGCCATTTATTCCCCACATGTCGTTTTAAACGCCATTTATTCCCCACATGCCGTTTTAAACGCCACTTGTTGTCCACATGCCGTTTTAAACGCCATTTGTTGTGTACATGCCACTGATCAGCTGTGGCAGGTGCCGGTGCCACAAAAGGAGCCTGCCCTTTCTCCAGAAGCGAGGAAACCAGTATGTGCCATCGGCCCCTCCGACCACCACCAACCATTCACTCACACACCAGACTCATTCTAGGCAATGGTGGTGAAGTGTCTTGCCTAAAAACACAACGGCAGTTTGGCACTTTACAGCCGCAGCCGCCCCGCTGTGGCATCAGGTTTTCCCAGAGGTTAAGTGTCTTGCCAAGGACACAACGACAGCAGACAGTGGGAGTCGATGGTGAAGGTCGGGCCCACGACCCTCTGGCTCAAAGGCCAATGCTCTACCAACTGAGCTACTGTCGCCCAATTTCCTTACCTTTTACTTATTTGTTATCATACAACTTGTCTGACCGGGTCTGCTGGTTGCCATGGAGGTATCATTTCTTTGTTTAGAAAAAAAACTCGACATTATTATCTCCAAAACGTTCAAAAAAATAAATGAAAAGGCAATTTGTGAGGCCCTTTAGTTTTTTCCTGTGATAACATATTTTCCCTATTTATGAGTGCAGAATTGGGGGTCGCAGCCAACACCAAATCTAAATCAGTTACAAATGCAATCTGCAACCTTGGAATAATAAATGAATACAGTACACAGTAAGGGTTGGACTACTACCAGACAGGTAAAGTATATCAGCACTTTGATTTTGAACCTGGGCTGATTGGTTTGTTCAGAGCGACTGATTTGGACCTGCTGTATCAGTTCCCATTTCACAGCTGATGTGATTTTCAGAAATTATGAAATTAAGGCCATGTTCACGCTTCAGTCCCAAATGAACTGGACTTCACTTTAGGCAAAAATGCTTCAACTGTGGAGATAAGAGACCACCGAACAAGTGTCATTCTTCCAGGTGACATGTTCTTATGTTCGTTCTGGTTCAGTTGGGTCAATATTAATTATGAGCCAAGCATTTCAGATGTATGACGCTAAAATCAGGTCTTCCTGAAAATGTGAGACAGGCTTCTACTCTGACAATGTTCAAATCCAGGATAAAGACAGTTCTGATTAGAATTATATCGGCACGGTTGCTGAGTGGATAGCACTCTTTCATCTCAGCAAGAAGGTCCTGGGTTTGAATCCTGGACGGAACAGGGTCTTTCTGAGTGGAGATTGCATGTTCTCCCCGTGCTTGAGTAGGTTTCCTCCAGGCACTCCGGTTTCCCACTACCACTAAAAACATGCTCACTATGTTAAATCCTCCTGCTCCGGTCCTGACCAAGCCGAGCATCAACATCTGGAGATGGGTTCCCGGGCGCTGTTACTACAGCGACCACTGCTCCTGACATAAGCCTTTGCGGCATCAGGATGGGTCAAATGCAGAGGATTGAATTGCCCTACGGAGATTAATAAAGTGCACCTTTAACTCTCTTCAAAGAGATTCACTGTGATTATCTACGTTTGTTGTGGTTATGATTTATATGTCTTGTATGATTTTAATGTTTTCTTAGAGTTGAATGGATAAATGTCATGAATACAGTTGAATACAGGTGAGGGTCCTTGTGCAGCTACCAGACAAGTTATACAAAGGCATTTATCACAAGATACAAGACCGACATAAATCTCTACATTAGACAAATTGCTCCTCAACTTACCATCATTCCTCACATCAGTCACACCACTCTCCAGACTATTGACCCGTTTGGTTGCAAGAGACGTCCATTCCCAGCTTTTGGTAGGCGAAGGAGCTGGAGTCCCAATAGACTTGAGTAAATCCACACCTGTGCTGCTAGCCGGCTCGTCCCACTTTACAGCAGAGGTAGGTTGTTCCTCTCTCTGTATGGTTGTACTTCCATTACCCTCATATGCTAAGGTGTGCTGCAGGGAAGATCCTTCGGTCCTCACGTCTCCGGGCAACTCAGAACTCTCCTGGACATACTCGGGCTCTGTATATTCTCCTAAAACACCCTGGTTGTCGTCTGGAGTCGACCATTGCAGGAGTGATTCCAATAAACTCCTTTGAGGTGTAGGAGGACCGCGGCCTTTTCCATGTAAGGCCAACACGTGGAAGGGACCGCAGAGGGAAGTTATGGAAAGATAAATGATCCATGCAGACATCATGCCGTTGTGCAAACTTTCAAGTCACATTATTCTTTGAACTTGATTTTGAAGAACAAGGATTCATAAAATGTCATTGATAAGTGATTGCCTGGAAAGAAAAAAATAAATCCAGGTGAAATATAGGGAAGGACATGTATGGAACCATGTGGTATTAAAAGGACATTATTCTAGATCAGGGGTGTTGACCTCCCTTTGGTCCAGAGCCAAAAAATATAAAAGTTGTTTTCTCATCTATTGCATCTGTGGGTACATTTGTATATTCATTTGATACATTATGGAGGTATTCTGACCAAAACACTTATTTAATGTGGAAGATTCATCTGGACAAAATAAGATCAGTTATGTTTGGATTGAACCAAAAAAAAGAAGAGAAGAATGGCATGTTGTCGCTCAGGCATGTTCATTCTACCTCTGCCTTGCTATCCCAAAGTAAAATTCTACCATTGAGACACAAGTTCATGGTCATTAATCCAACTTCAGGCCCGTCAAATGAGAGTCGATTATAGATTTTGTGTTGTGATTCAATTTGAAACTGAATCCAAGGTTTTACTATCGCCCCCTGAACAAGTCTGGTGAACTAAAGTTATCAGTCTGTTACAATAATACATTTTTTAACTGTTGCTGATTGCGTTTGGGTTGATGATTTTTTGTTTTGTGAGAAAATTAGCTTTAAAATAATCTATTCAGGGGCCACTAATAATTTACATTTTACAAATTTAAGTTAGAAAAATGCTTAAACTTGGATAAGGAGAATATTTGAATAAAAGTCCTTACAAAAATGTTTTTTAACCAGGAAAGTCCTAGTCTGGTTGTTCCACACCTTTTTTTCATGGAAGTCTTTTAGAGTAGTACAAGTTTTCAATATATTTCTGAAAAACAGATCTTTTAGACTAGTTGTGTCTAACCCCTGGCTTGGGGGGCAAAAGCAGCCAAGTTTCCAAGTTAATTTTGATTAGCATCGAATGAGTTGATTAGCCGCCTCAAAGTCTGTATACTCTGTGAGAACAAATCACAACATTTACCACTTGCCCTCTATGAGAAAGTCAAATGCATGTTTTTAGTGTAAGGACCAATAATCAATAATGGAACAGCAGTGACACATATGGAGCACTTATGTAGAGGTCCTCACTTCCACTAATGTAACAGTAATGACATATGAGCACGTGTTGTAGCTGAGAATGTTTTGTTTTTGTTTTAATGTAATGTCTTTTTTCACATATACGTATACTCTTTAAAGAAAAAACTAACTGATGAAAAAAACAGCTTTACAAAGGGATGCGCAAAGCAGACCCATATTTGGCTCCAACCCCTCTCACTCATACAACACATCACAAAACACGCACGCACACACACACACAAACTCTGGTAAGTCTCTCTTGCCACAAACACCAGTGGCTTGAGAGACCGGCCACTATACTCCATACATCCTCCACTATACACATTTGGTATAGAGAAGCTGTCCATCTTTCTTTGATCTCTAACTGAGCATACCTATGAAGTAAAACATGACACAGGCATGGGTGAATACGGTGCTTGTATAGCGTCAGTGCCGGATAACTTTAATTACAAGCAAATCCTACCATTCTACAAATGATATAACGGTATATACTCACATATTCTGTTGCAGAGACGCACCATCTCTCGCCTGCAGTGCTCTAAATTCAAGCAGCATTTGAAGCTCTGTGGTGCGTTTCGTCAGCCTCTCTCTTCTGGTGTTAGGCAGACAGTCCACACATGGGACAGACCCCTCCTTCCTTCACCCGCTGCATGTGGCAGTGCACGCAGTTTGCATTGGAGGCTTGGGCTTCGATGGAATTTAAGGGGTAGGAGGGAATGTATGGCTGCAGAGATGACAGAGAAGAGTGTAAATATTGTACAACATTGTGGCAGGCGGCAGTGTGTGGGTGCATTGGCGGATCAATAAAGGGATTGCGGGTGATTTACAAGTGACGCAGTGTATTTTAGAGGAAGCAGTCGAGTCTCCTATACTCTGAGGACATACATTAGCACAAGCTGTCCAGGGGTATGATGAGAAAATACTATTTTTTTTGAGACATTTTCAATCAATAAGCAAAGAACCACAACTCGTCTATCCTAAAATTGTGGACTTTGTAACTTAATGGTGGTGGCTGAATACACTCTCGGTTCTCAGCAAGAAGGTCACGGGTTTGAATCCCAGTTGAAACAGGGCTCTTTTGAGCAGAGTTTGCATGTTATCCCCTTGTCTGCGTAAGTTTCCCCTACCACTAAAAACATGTACAGTAGGCAGTCTAATGAGTGAGTGAGTGGATGGATGATGTTGGTTGGAGGCTTTGATGCTCCAGTGTGTTCGGGGTCTTCTGTCATCACCATGTGGAGAGGAGGGAAAAATATCTGAACATTATAAATTGCTTTGGGGTGTCCTTGTTCTGTAAAAATGTGCTATATAAGTAAACATTACATAATACTTACTTACTTAAAACAGTTAAGGTTGGGCCATATATCTTTTTTGGAGTTTCTCATTTTGACTCTATGTAAAAGTCAAATTAGTTCATGCTGCAGAGTGGGTCAGAAACAGGTTGAGGAGCTCAGTCACACGGAAGGAACTTGGAATAGAGCCGCTGCCTCTCCACACCGAGAGGAGTAAATTGAGCTGGCTCAGGCATCTGTTTTGGATGTCTCTTGGGTCTCCCAAGACATGCTGGATGGACTACATCTCTCAGCTGGCCTGGGAAAACGGGATTCCCTGGATGAGCTGGAGGAAGTGTATGGACTTTACTTAGTGAAACAAGGCCTGCTGTCATCACAAATTATGGCTCTGCACAAATCAGAAAGCAATGGTTGAGAAACTAATTTGAGAATTACAGAAAGTAAAATGATTACATCCTAGGAATAATGCAGAGTTGTGAATTCTACATTTCTCATGTTTAGTTTCAAGCTTTGTGAAATTATGAATACAATTTTTTTAATACACTGAAAAAAGTATTATCTACATTAGATGTATAGTAAAACAAATAGTTCAAACTACTCACTACTTATGACGTACATATACCTTACATGTTTACTAGATTTGATCAACTAATTATTATAATTACCAAATAATTCACTGCAAGATTGTATTACAAGTCACTATCAACATTTTGAAGCAGGGCTGAAAAAATTGTTATAAAACACCAGTTATTAATACTATATATCACTGGGGAATGTGGCTGATTGAATCGCCGCACATTCTTTCATGAGGCTTCACCTTGGTCAGCGTAGGATATGTGCTGTCTTTAATCAGTGGGGGAAATCCAGCCATCGCTTGGCCTAATTCAATTCCCCAGAACTCGACCAAAATAGATAGCGGTCCACTTACAAGATACTGATACTACTCACTGCAGACCTTACAGAAAATGTTAATGTATGTACAATTCCATATCATGCTCTTTTCATCTGGTTGATTGTCATGGTGACAACACAATATAAACTAGGACCTCCCTCTGCTGGCAACAGTTGGAAATTATGTGTTTAAAGAGACAAATTAGCAGCATAGTTTTGAATAACACAATGAGAAAAGCATATGACAAAAAATACATTTCAATATCACAACTAAGAACGAAAGAACTTGATGGGTCCGCTATTTTTTTACACTGGAAAATCATAATCAAGTTGGGTTGTTTGAAAGATCCATAACTTTCTCTAGCAAGAAACTAGCATTGTTGCTAGAATTTTGAGATATTTACACTGTAATTACAGATTTTATTTAATATACACTGTCCTCATCAAATGACTTAATAATATTATTATTATTTTTAAAGTGGGGAAATTAGCCTTATACTATTCAGGCTTGTTCAACAGAGCCCCTGTCTGAAGCCTTCTGAGAAAGGGGGGTGCCAGAAGAACCACTAGAACTTACTACATTCTGATCACAGCACTTTCTGGGTGACTGAAGGAAGTGTGAGAAGTTATTTGTTATTTAATAATAATGCATTGGTTTTATATAGCGCTTTTTTGGACACTCAAAGACGCTTCACATGTGTCATTATTCATTCACTCCATACATGGTGGTGATAAACTACTACTGTAGCCACAGCTGCCCTGGGGCACACTGACAGAAGCGAGGCAACCAGTATGCGTCATCGGCCCCTCCGACCACCACCAACCATTCACTCACACACCAGACTCATTCTAAGCAATGGGGGTGAAGTGTCTTGCCTAAGGACACAACGGCAGTTTGGCACTTTACAGCCGCAGCCGCCTCACTGTGGCTGGTGTTCCCAGAGGTTAAGTGTCTTGCCAAGGACACAACGACAGTAGTCAGTGGGAGCCGATGGTGAAAGTCTTGAGCGGGGCTTGAACCCACAACCTTATGGCTCAAAGGCCAAAGCTCTACTAACTGAGCTACTGCCACCCATTTTTGAGCTGACATCAGATTTCAATGGTCATCTGGCTGGTGATGTCAACTGTAAACTGTGACACACACAGATGGTTTAATAGTATCTGAAAATGGTTTTCTTTGTTGGCACTTCAGAAGTCTGGAAATGTGTTTTGTAGATATAGTCATATTAGCACTGAAGTACAGTTATGGTTGACATTTAGTATCAAATATATACTTGAAATGAAAAAAATAAAAGTACAGGGTGAAAAAAAGAGACAAAATAGAGCATAGAGGCTTCCTGGATGATGACCGCAGACAACACAGGAAAGCAGGGGTCCATCCCCGACAAAGGGACTGGAAGGGGACAATGCCAGGCCAAACACATGAGCTCATGCGCCCTGAAAGTCAATGGGCAGATGAAGGCTGTTTGGACAGATCATCCTCCAACAAGAGCCGGTCAGCACGGAGCAGTGTCCAGCTGAGAGAGGATGGGGGAGGTGGGGGAGGAGGGGGACCAGGCTATGGGCCACCAAGCTGCACAAGCAAAAGGGACCAATCACACGAGCACAACATTGTTATGTTTGAGCAACAATTTTCTCTTTGTTTTGGGTCTTGTGTTTTTGTCCAGGTTTTTTGGGGGTTTAATAATATACAGGTT